CTCACTCCTCTCAGCTTATAAGAATATTCCAAATCAGACAGTGTCATCCAATGGTGAAACAAAACTGTTCTCGTAATTTTCATTTTTTTTTTATTTAGATGAATGCTTCACGGATTATAAGATGAGAAATAATTCTATAAGAGGAATCCATGAAAAATATAATAATATAAATATTTATGTTTTTATAATTAAAAGTTAAAAGAAATTTCTTTAAGCATGCCACCTACTGATGCATTTACCTAAAGTGCTATGGTAGAAAACCACGGTCAATGAACGCTGACAATAGCGGATCCAGGATTTAATTTTGGGGGGGGGGGCTTCAGCCCGGAAGCTTTTTCCTTCATATATATATAACGATAATTACTTTAGAAAAACAGAAAGATATTAACTACCTATATGAAATGGTGTTTAAGTGATTCTTGAAGTCCTATTAAATGTAATTAAACGAGCAATAATACTTTAAGACAAATTTTTAAAATATTTTTTACCATAAAACATGGTTACATTTTACCATTTTGGGGGAGCTCCAGCCCGAAAGCCACCCCCGCCCCCGTAAATCCGCCTGTGAACGCTGATATATACCAAATTTATCAAAAACTGAGACAAGTTACTATAAATGGCCCTGTAGCTTGGGAATGGGTCCCCCAAGAGGAAAAACTCATAGAATAAAAGTTGCAACTTTGCCCCTACAGGACATCAAACGCTGCGTCCACTAGGTACTAACAGTTTTAATGTGTCATTTATATCTCTCGAATCGAGATTCGTTATTTATTCGTTCATTTCGTTGTTTTTTTTTTACATCTCGCTTCTCAAATCCTTTATTACTAAGAGGTGGAAAATAAATCTATATTGCATACTCGTGTAGAAGACTATAACAAGTTAATAAGTTCATCACCAATATCCAGCCATCGGAAGATTATCGATTCTATGCGGGTTAAGTGATCTGCATTAAAACTGTTAGTGCTCAATGGACGCAGAATTTGATGCTCTACAACTTTGATTTTATGAGTTTTTCCTTTTAGCTATTGGGTCATTTATAGTAATTTTTTGTATCTGTTGTTGACAAATTTGGTAATAATCAGCGTAAATGACCGTAGTTTTATACCATAAGACTTAACCTAATTATTATGTTAGGTACTCATTCGGTGCATAATTTAACATTCTTTCTTTAATTTCTTAATCAAATTCATAGTTATTTTGAATGTTATGGTCTTGCCGTGGTTGTTGTTTTTAGCAATAGTTACAAGTTGTTTCAGTCTGTTTTTTTAAATTCTGTAATTGTTCTCCAATAAGTATATTATAATATTTTTACGGCATTGGACACATTTCATTTAAAACATAACTTTTACATTTAATCACTGTTGCATCTGCGGTGGGAGGAGGAAAGGGGAGCTTTCAAGCTTAAGTTTTTCCAAATTGGAAATATAGACATATATTTTTCAATTGTCCATATTTGTTTATACGAGTGATCTAAGCTAAATACTTAATCACATTATATTCTCTTTTTAAATTTTAATGCATAAAAAAAAGTCCCCTCCCCCAAAAAAAAAAAAATTGAATCCTGGATTCGCTACTGCATTCAATCAATAATAGATTAAGGTTTAAAGGTACATTTAGACATTTCACAAACTATTTTTACAGTTATCTAACTTATCTAATACCGACATTATTGTTAAACCAAACTATTTATTTTATTTCTCTGTATACCGATAGCAGATGGGAAATATAAAAAATACTAGTATAGTGAAATGGATATTTATATTTTTTTTTGTGAAATGCCTAAACACACCTTAAAAGACCATAAATATTCCACAAAACCCATTTCATAAATAATAAATATTTATAACGAGAAACATGTAATTTTATAAATTCCGTTAAAAAAAAAAAAAAGAAAACATGAAATAAAGTGAGTATATTAAAAAAAAAAACTATACTTTGTATACTACTATTAATTTTTACTGTTGTGGTAATATAAGAGCTAGATTGAGAAACAACGGTGTCACTTTTGAACTGAATGAAATGAAAATTTAAAATACTCTTTTTTATTTCCAATATTAAAGATTGGAATGAACATAAATCAATCAATTACGAAAAGCCGAAATAAAAAAAAACACGAGTAAAACAAAAAGTCTGAACATGTATATTACAAAAAAAAAAAAAGATCTATTTCTTATCTTTGATCACTTGGAATCGGAACTATTTTAGTAATTTTTTCTGTAAACATATAACTAATATTGAAAATAGACAAAACTGCCACAATAATATGAAAACATATCACGAAAAAACGAATATTAAGGAAAACGATACATGTGTTTTTGTTTACTTATTTTTTAAAAATGAATTTAAAATATTGAGACACCAACGTTCAAGTCTTAAAACCAGACTTTAGGAATTAGTAAGACTCTTTGCCGATATTTCTAATGAAAATATAAACATGACACTATATGACTTAGAGTACCCTTATGAAATCTATAATTTGTTAAAAGAGGATAAATAATATTTATTTCGAGTATTAAATAAATATAAATTTTATATTTATATAAATCTTAAAAATTTCAAGGCAGCAATTTTAAAACGGCTGAAAGCATCTTTCAGTCAATGTTGAAATGTATTTGCTTAATTACGAAGTGAGTTTTGATAAACACTGTTTCATTAGTTCATTATACTCTGTACTTTTTTTTTATCTTTTTTTTTTTTAGGATACGTGCATTGTGAAATCATTCGTTATCAGTAATGTTTTTGTTTTTACTGTGACTCAACTAAATGTTCTACTGAGGTCCTTTTGAAGTTTTCACACATGCTAAACTACTTTATCAATATTTAGATTTAACTTTTTAATGATTTTATTATGATAATTTATGAGGCATAAGAGTGATATTTTTGTCATAATCGGTGATATTTTTGGCTATTTACAGATTGCACTTAAAAAAAAAAATGAATGAAATCCATAGATGGGAAATTAGTATTTAATTCACCGGTGATTGTTTTTTGTAGTGGTGGGGCAAAGTTTAATCGTGTTGATTCGTGCGTTGTTATGCAGAATTTGATCAAGTTTCAGATATCGCAATAGGAAAAACGTTTTAAGTTAACTACCGCATTAGTTCATTAAGTTAACGTATAGGAGGCAGTGAAGACTTTATAAGTAATATTGTATTCATAATATATGTTACAAATGGCATCTAACGTACTGAAATATACTATGGATAGATGGGTTGCCTACAAGAATTCACTCCATGTCTCCTACAAAAGTGTGATTTCAAGAATGTAACTGCAAGAGTGATTTGTTTTGAGGACCATGGAAAATTGACCTTTGCTGAAATCTGTTATTGTTCCCTAAGTCTTGATAATGGGTCTTGTGTCCAGTCGGTACATTCTTGATAACTATTTCTAAACGATCAGATATAGCTTGGCTTGCCTATCTAGGGAGAGAATTGTCAATACAATACATGATTCACCCATTGGCATATTTAACAAACTCAATTATTAAAATAAAAGTTAAATTGATATTATTATTATTATTATTTGTTACGGATTAAATCCATTCCGTAACGATCTTATCATGCCATATCTTACTAGCCCACGTAAGGATCGGGAGTTAACACAACATAACTTTACTACAACACTAGACATGCTACAAAAATAAGGTGGGAAAACTAGTTTTCAGTACAGACCTCTTCTTTATAAATTATTAACATCCGTCTAAAACTATTTGAATGGTTTCATCTTATCGTAACCTACAACTATTTTATTCACAAAAATTTTCAGAAATGAGACGCATTCAATGTCGAGATCAGTTGAATACGTCAGATTTCAACATATTGCACTTAAAAAAAAATGGATGAAATCTTCAAGTTTAATATAAGATTGATTAATTTTCTATTTTATTATATTTGAACTACCCCTCTCCTCGGAACCCCATGTTGCTAGGTTTTCAATTGGTATCATTGGCTTTAAGTCCAACAAGCTTTTTCAAGCTATTTCATCGCTTAAACGATCTCCTATCATCTGAACAACGACTCCTGATTTTTATATCATTCCATTCCTTACTTCGCTACAAGGCAGCGTCTAGTCCGCGTTACAGACCCCTTTTTTAAAATCAAATTATTAATATCTGTATAAAACTTCTTGAATGGATTCATTTCAATGTAAACTACAACTTTTTTATTCACGGAAATTCTCAGAAATGGGACGTTTTCAATCTCGAGATTGGTAAAATTTGTCTATTGAATCAGGTACTAAAAACTCGTGAACACCCATTTGATTTTCACCTCAATCGTAAGATAATTTGATCACGAAATTGAGGAAAAAAGGTGGCCTCCAAAAATATTGTCCGTCTGGCGTAACCTCCACCCCCTAACATGTCAAAATAATGAGATTATATTATATTATGGGTCTTCATGAGATTTTGTTCAAGTTACGCGCGCCTTAGTCACTTCATCTAAAGCATAAATATAGCAGCAATAATAATATCTTCTACTATAACCATAAACTAATTTATATTATAAGGTACAAGGTTTGACTTATCCGACCTGCCTTTCAATAATATTAAATAGACAAAGTTTACCGATCCCGACATTGAAAACGTCTCATTTCTGAGAATTTTCGTGAATAAAAAAGTTGTAGGTTACGATAAGATGAATCCATTCACGAAGTTTTAGACAGATGTTAATAATTTAATAAAAAAGGGTCTGTAACGGGGACCAGATGCTGCCTTGTAGCGAAGTAAGAAAGGGAATGAGATTAAAATCAGGATTCGTTGTTGAGATGATAGGAGGAGATCGTTTAAGCGATGAAATAGCTTGAAAACGCTTACTGGACTTAAAGCTAATGATACCAATTGAAAACCGCATTTTACACACAATTTCTATTTTTATTTCATATTATTTTAATGTAAAAAAATGCAGTATACACTTGTGAATATATCTATACATTGTGATGTCTTTTTAATCATAAGATTTCATGGTAATAAGGTGTACTGATCCAAGATTAAAAAGTAACACTAAAGAAATCAAAATATATTTATATATAAATTCTTTTATTTCATAATATTATATTCTCTCTCAATTAAGGACAATGATGAAAGAGCATATTTACACCATCAAATCAAGATATTAAGTAAAAAAAAGCAAACATTGAAGTGATATTATTTTTCTTATCAGTCTCTGTATTAATTAGCCATGGCATTTTAATTTAATCATATACAACTAGTTAGGCATAACTGCTATTAATCATTTCAACACAACTCTAAGCTTTTTAAGATTATTTAAGACATATTTTATTTATTTATTCTATTTCTTTTATCCAACAATTGTTGTACAACAAAATTTGTTAAATTGTCGATTATTTCTTGCTTTCATCTTTGAATGGAAATTCTGGATGGAGCTTCACACTAAAAAAAAAAAAATAAATAAATAAAAATAAAATAAAATCACAAGAATAGATTAAAGTTTAAATTTTTTTTTTTTAAACTAATATCGAATTGAGAATTTTAAACGTTGGGTGTAAAACGACCTGGCTTATTAAAGTTGTTTGTTTTTTTAAGGGGTTAAGTTAAGCCTCATTTCGCTGTTTGTCTACCATTCGTCAAATCTCGTCGCATAGTGTATGGTAGGAATCTAGTGAAAAAAAATTCCCTTAAAAGTCTCCTTAAATGGGTTTTAACAAAGAAAGATTCTACATATATTTAAAGAGAATTTTGTCTAGTTTACTTTGAAGCTATTGCTAATTAGCTAAATTACACTTTTTTTTTTATCTATCGCTTCATATTTAACAAAAATGTGACTTGCTTAAAAACAGCAAACTTAAATTTCCTTAAGATCTACTATAATCTCTTTAAATATTTTCCTTTTACTTACGGGACACCCTGTATAATTACAAAAATAATTATATTATACAATTAAATAGTTAAAAGGTGTTTAAAATACAACTAACTGTCGCGATATTTCTCTATTATTTTTTAATGTGTTTTCACTTCTCATTTTAACAGCATAAATTTTAAATATAACATTGATTATACTCATCAATCTGGCTTCTACTTGTTAGTGATATTTTAAATATAGAAATAATAAATAAATAAATATTATAGAAATATACCTTTTTTTATTATTATTATTTCAAATTCCTATATTAATAACTATATTTAAGATGAAACTCTACAACATTTTACCGATCAAATAGTAAAGATCGAGAACTAAAAAAAAATATATAAAAAATTGTATTTTAATAGCATTGTTTTTATAAGTATTAATTTTTTAATTAACTGCTGTATAAGGTTCTTCCTTAGAACTTGAGAGGTAAGGTTTTAAGCACGCTGAATAAATTTGTAACTTATTTTGAATTGATTTTTGAAGAAACTCGGTATGAAAATCTATTTCGATTTCACTTACTGAGTTTTTAAGTAAATCTAAAAGTATACCTAGATAGAAACATTCTAATTTAACATGCAAAGCAACGTTTACAAATTTCATGGGATCATGGGAAATAATAGCGTGGAAAAGGATGTTTATCTATAGTACAGGAAAATTATGAATTGACCCAAAAAAAAAAAAAAAAAAAATGCAATTTGTTAGGAATATTGTATACAGGGTGTTTTAGGGTTGAGTGCCAAACTGCCAAAAATGAACTTAAGACCTCAAAACAAGTAAAATAATTCCTCTGAAGGTATGTCCGTAAATGCTTTGTTTAGGAGATATGCTTTGTTTAGAGAGAGGATTTAAAACCTACATATTTGTTCTAAATATTGTATTAATTAAATGAAAATATTAGCATTCATATTAAATGTTGTTCAAAGTTATTTCCTTGAGCATTAAGACAGGCTCGGGATCTTTCTTCAACAGCAGCAGTGGCAGAACGGCACTGGATATGTGTTATTGTTTCACAAGATCCAATTATCCTTCTTCGTAAGGAATTAAGGTCATTGACCTGACTTCCATAGATTTTTGTTTAATGTCATCCCAAAAAAAAATCGTTCGAATTATAATTAAAAGTTTCTTTCTTTCTATGAGTCTAAAAAGTCATTGGCAACTGAATAGTATTCGATAACAATCAATTAGGAATTTCTTGATATCGATGTGGTGTTTGGATTAACATTGATTTTCTATAACAGATAATAAGTGATAGCAGACTTTAAATCCTATAAAAATTCAAAACAGACCATGGTCTGTCTGATTTCTCACAGAAAAACAGAAAAATGGTTTTCTATTTTTTCTTTCAGCCACGTTTTTGTCGAATAGAAAGTGATACATCATAAAAACGTATTTAATTGATGTTATGAACTATTGATTCATAGTAAAAGCCGAATTCAAAAAGGACTCTAAGCAGTTAAACTACAGTATATTATATTTTTCATAAAACATTAATTATTCCCTATTTTTTTTATAACATCTCAACTGGATTACTGATACACCACTGTTAGATCTTTCTTTCAATTTATGATTTAAGTTCATATTTATTAAGTTGTGGTTTGTTATAGAATAAGTTGATATTCACCTCCAGTTGAGTAAAAAGATTATGTGGTTTGATATTCTGTCGGCCCAAAAACAATCCGTAACTGTATTTTTAGCAAAAATAACAACGATGAATTATTTAAAAACTTTTGGTATTAAAACCAATATCAGCTGGAGATCATTAGAGTCTAAAAAAAGGTCAGTTATCGGTTCTTCTACCTCTCCTCCTTCCCGAAAACAAAACCCAACGCGGAAAAACTAAATTTCGAATAAAAATATTTCTCTATTACATTATAAGGATAACACTTTGCAAAATATGTAAAGCCGCCTTCATAATCTAAAAGCTGATATAAACATATATACCCTTTGAAAAATGAGAAATCAACGATTCGACCTCCTTCCCCTTGATCAAGTTTTTCAAGTTGGTTTATCTCCTCATTTGAAAGACTTATCTCAAGTGCCTGCAACATAAGAAAATTACGAATCTAATCAATAACAGCTTACCTGCTTATAAAATAAATACCTATAATTGGAAATAACAAAGTGTTGGAAAAGAGGTAGCTGAGAAATTAAACATATTTCTTTTTTCGGAAGATCAGGAGATGCGGGATCTGCAACACTACAATAAAGTCAAACATCGAGATAAAGCTGGTAAAAAACACTCTAGAAGAGAATAAACTAAGATGGTTTGGATAACCCTTTAGCTCCATATATGAATATGGAAAGAACGGCCGAGATCACATTTGAGACACGAGTGGAGAGAAGAAGATCAAGAGGATGGTAACGAATCACCTGAGAGGAAGTCGTGCGGCAAGCATTTAGGAAGCAATGGCTAAACTGCAACAGGAGGAGAGAACTTTTATAGGAAAGAGTCACTTGTTCCTAACTCTATAGAGAGCATCACCATACTGCGCAGCGGATCATGAAAAATCCGTGCTGCTTAAATATTATGTAATATATTTCTTGGCATGTAATAAATTGTTCTTTGTGAATCCCGAAACAAAGGAAACCCATGCTTAGCAAAGACTTCCCTATTATTGAAAACATATGCAAACAAAATGATTTTTCACCTTTTTGAAAATCATTGAATTTAAAGTGACGAAAATCATATTCTTGTTCAACAACTTTGAGGATCAAACCTCATAAACTCGAAAGTGCAAGATATCATAACTCACCCAAAAACTTCAACTAATGCCTGGCCTTATAAAGCTTATATTGAATAATATCGAATAAAATATATATTTAACAAAGAAACCTATATTTTTAATTAGATAACGTAAGTATTTACCTATGAGGACGATGTCGTAGTAATTACAAGACCACTATTTAGTGTTAAGGACAGTCTGAAAAGGCTTGAGATGGAAGCAGGTAGGTCAGAACTAAAAATAAATTAAGAAAAGAAGAAACTCCTAATACAAAGAAGAGAGAGCTGAGAGGCAAACGTTGTGGGGACGCTAGGTATTGGTTCCAATACCTCGGCTCAATCATCAATGAAGAATTTTAGCTGGGAATCATCCATACTTTGCCATTGACATATTACTGAATTAAATTGTTAATTGTAGAAAAAAGATTGTCTAGTACAAAACACTGATTCGGCGTGTAGTGACTTACATCTATAAGGCTTGGACACAAAGTGAAAACGTCTACAGTTAGTGGACAGATTTGAAAGTCGGATCCTTAGACATATCATAGCCGCAAGTCTAGGAACATGCTGTATGGCGAAGAAAAAAAAATGTTGACTTGAGCATCTCCTATTTTGCCAGGTTGAAAAGGTTGTGTCAATTGCTTAGAATGGATGAAGGAAGTATAGCAAGAAGAGAATACGAGAACTGCCATGATGGAGTAAGGCCTAGAGGTAGGGCAAAGGATAGATGTAGAGAAGATGTCCTGGAAGATCTCAGTTCCCTGAGAAAAACTGTATCAGGACCGAAACAAATGGAACGTGGAAATTGAGCAAGCCAAGGATCGCTCTAAGTATCTGTCTCAACAATAAATGAAGAAGAAGATTGTATAAAACATGCCTAATTAATTAATTACTAATCTGTAAAATTCACCTTGATGTTATTTACTATGTGGTTCAAATTTATACTCTTAGGGATCACTGCAACATTTTTATGAAGTAAGAACGCTAGAAGTACTTGAGCCGGTGTAACATTATTAGCTTTAGAAATTATCAAGACATCCGGATGTTCTAGCAGCATTGGCAACTCTTTACTGAAAAAGAAAAAGGCTATTTTAATTTTTGAACATTGTACTGATTAATAAATAAATATCAGTCACGCCAACATGAGTCTTAAATTAAACAACATGGTAACAAGATAGTATGGTAAATGACAAAAAAATCCAGGAATCTAAATTTCAACATGATAACTCAACTTAGTTGATTCATAGAAGTTATTAGATTATTAACAATTGCAAGGAGTATTTTATGTTGCTATATCTTTATAATTTTCCCATATTCAAGTACAATACAGTATCAACCTAAACCTCCATTCCAAAGCGCCTTTGTCGACACCAAAGGTGCTATCGACCGTAGGGGTTTTAGATGTAACACGAGTGCTTCTGGGGACAAAGATGTGTACTGACTTATTTACTTCTTGATTTATTCTTATCTTTAATTTGATCAATACGATCTTGTTCAGATTAATGTTGGAGCATAAAAAGCAAAGGATCTTCGTTCAACAACATTGAGTGAATGTTCGCAAGAAGGAAGGTTACAATGAAAATTGAATTGCTGGAGGAATGTCTGTGCTTAGTAAATGTACCAGAATCAAACTGCCATAATCGTGGTTGGAGACTTGTCAGTATGAAGGTGTAAAATCAAAGAGGGTGATTTAGGGAATTTCCATCTTCAAAAAGTTTTGACGTGGTAAGATTACGAGGTTTTGCAAGCTTTTTATTCGAGTTTTAGACGATTAATGAGAAGAACAAATTAATCTACTTTTGAGAACTTGATCAGTGTCTTGATATTAACATACCTTATACCAAAACACTCGAACAGTTTAATACTTCCTGGAGATCCAAGAGGCGAATAAGCTGTCACCGTGATTCCATTCTTTTCAGCGAATTCTCGGATATCATTTTGTTGCATATAAACATGCATTTCGATTTGCAGGTTCTCTGGTTTAATGCTACAATTGCTTAATATCTTAGAAATCTGAGCTTTATTAAAATTAGAGATACCTATAGATCTGGTTTTCTTGCTTTGTACTAATTTCTCCATTTCCTAAAAAAATCAAATTACGTTACGTTGGCATATATTGTGGATTGATGATTGATAGTAGTGAATAATTCAAGAAAAGTTGGTTGGGGTGATCAGTCAAAAAAATATATGTGTCTTACAATTTGATTTTTCACCTAAACTATTATTGCAAAATGATGATTAATGAGGTTCAAGAATCATTAATCACCATAGGAAATCTTAATCATAATCAAAAAATAATTAAATTAAACAATCATATTCACCTTCCAAACAGCAACAATGTCAGTATTCATGTCCAATAATATTGAACCATCATCGGAAAAGGGATGTAACGAATCACCTTCTTTAAAAGAAAATGGAGCATGGATCAGGTACAAATCGACGTAATCTAGTTGAAGTAGTTCTAAGGACTTGTCCATCCATTTTGAAACTGAGCTAGGACGATTTCCAGCAGCTGGTAACTGAAATTTTGATATTTATTTCATAAATGACAGCATACTAGAAATTAGGAAGAATTATCAAGCAAAAAAATTATCATCATTCTCTTCTCCAATTACGATCAGTTGAATAAAATTACATTATTGGATACATTTTTTCAATCAAAATTAATTATTAATAATACTAATGCCGAACTCATTCTTTTATTAATTTTTAAAGGAGAGCAGTTCTATGAAAAGGCATATATAGGTTTGTGGGCTGGGATTGCGTGTTTAGATAATGCATAGAAGAACAAGGAATAATCATATTAAGAAAGTTTTATGGTTGTAAAGGTTTGGAAAAGGAATAAACCTAGGAAATATTGTTGTTGGAAAACTGTTTAGAGTTACTTTTACTAGGCATACCAGCTGGAGATGTGGGAGTGCCTGAGGACTCCAAAGATGAATCTAATGAAACAATTCATTAGTCTAACCAATCTGATCTCAAGTCTAACAGACAGCTCACCGTATTCAAGGAAAAAATAAGAGAGGAAACTAGGAGCTGGCGGGTCTTTAGGCGCATAGAATCACGGAATCACAGGAACTGTTTGAGTTTTTTTACAGGTTTGTAGATTTTCGGATAATTTGTGAAATTTAATTATTTCAGGAGAGGTGTTGATCAAAAATTATTCTACAAGGTTTCTAAGGGAATCGTGGAAGTGAATAGGTAACCCATTAAGGTAAAGTAGGGGATAATAAAGAAATAAATTAATACAATGCTTGGAATCAAGGAGAATGGTTTAGGTCTTTTCACCGTTCAACCTCGAATCATTGCTTGCTTTCCATGCGTTAATATAGTCTATATCTTCATGTAGGCTTTGAGTCGCCTCAAGAATCTGGATGGCAGGAAAGGTAGATTTGGAGGTCGTCGGTATGAGATATTGTGAATGATGGATGGAATCAGGAAGGTCGTCAATATAGATAGCGAAAAGATTTGGAGAGAGCAAAGATCCCTGAGGAACCCTATGAGATAGAAAGAGGGGGAGGAGAAAGGACTTTTATTCGGAATGACGACTGTTTTGTATCTGTGATACGAAAAGCAGCATAATAATTTTATTACGCTATTTGACATGAAGATGTTTTGGAATTTGGAAATGAGGATTTTTTGATTAACTGAAGCGAAGGCTTTTGAACAATCAAAGAGCTAGTGTCAAACATTTTTGTTCTTTGTAACCCTAAGATCTCCGAACTGCTGCCAATGCTCCATATTATATCATCAACGAAACACTACTTTACATGCATATACTAAACTAAATATACTTTACACGCATGGGGAAAGAGTGTGACTTGCTGTTTGGAACATCTGAGCGTACCATAAGTCTTGTATTGTAAGTCTTGGTACGTCTTGTATCATATGTACCTATGTATTATTTTTTTTCTTTTTACTTTAATTATTTAAAGAGTCTTATTATTATTATTATAATTGGTAAATGGTTGACTGTCGTGGATAATGAAGAGAAGAATAGTTGGGGTGGTCAGTCAAAAAAGAAGGCAAGAATAAATGATAATATTTATTTTTACATATGCCGACGTTTCGACCTGAAGTTCAGGCCTTCATCAGAGCTAAGAAAATAACCAGATAACAAGGTATGAGAAACATAAGTAGTGATGGTAAAAAAAATAATAATCAATAAATAAATAAAAAATTACAAAAAATAAAAAAAAAAGTAAATAAATAAATTTTTTTTTTTAAATTTTTTTATTGATAAATATTACAATCTGTCTCAATAACGGACATTTATAATAGAGTTCTGAGAGCACATTCACACCATATTTACAAATTAAAAAAAAAAAATAAAATAAGCTAACTTCAAATAATATAAAGCTACAAAAGAACAAAATAAAATATCATAGTGAGAAAAAAAAAAAAAGTAATGAAAATAAACATCTTAGACGCAGGCATACCTATTACACTATTTACAGTCGGCCATAGGAACTCCGAACCATACTTATCCCCCACATGTGGAGGGAAAGCAAGGCTTCAAAATAAATAAATAAAATAAAAATAAAAATAAAATAAATGAATATAAAGTAAAATGTAATTGTTAGAATAATGACTAAGAACTAAGAGATAAATAATAATAACCGTTACAAAGTGTGGAATGATGAAGTAGGCATAATCAAAAAAGGGTGACATAAGTGTTACAATGGGAATCTTAGAATAAAATGTAAAACATATTTATTTATTATTTTTTTTTTTTTTACCATCACTACTTATGTTTCTCATACCTTGTTATCTGGTTATTTTCTTAGCCCTGATGAAGGCCTGAACTTCAGGTTGAAACGTCGGCATATGTAAAAATAAATATTATCATTTATTCTTGCCTTCTTTTTTGACTGACCATCCCAACTATTCTCTTCTTTATTATTATTATTATTGAACATCGTATTTTTTTCTCATCTTGTATGAAAACAAGTAAATTATTAATATAATATCAAAAAAATAAAGTGAAAGTTTGTAGTGAAAAATTATAGTGAGAAATGATCAAAAAAATTCTTATGTCGTACAAATTACACTAATTAGAGTAGATGACCATAAAGGAATTAAAAGGGGAATAAGTTATCAGGTTCTCATATGATTGGGCTGACCTTAGTAGTGATGAATATTTCTTCTCTTTTGATCTTTCCAGATCGTAGCCACCTGCTGAGTACATTACCGATCGCTTCTTCATTTTCGTAAGCACTCGCTGTGTCGATGTGCCGGTACCCACATTCCAGCGCTATTTCCAAAGCTTTTTCCAATTCTTTGCCATCCACCTTAATTCAAAGCATATTAATTAAACCAACTTTAGAGAGAGAAATACTTTATTTAAATCAATGCAGCCCTATCATAGAGGATGTTTCAGGGTTAAGTGGCCAAACTGCAAAAATTAAGATATTCACACCTAAAGATTTTCTTTGTTATAAATAATTTACGTTATATTAAATACATAAAACCTATTTATTTGTTCTAAATGCTGTGTAATTTACTAAGTTGTAAACAGTAACATTCATATTAAATGTTGCTCAATGTGATTTCCTTGAGCATTAAAACAGGCCTTAATTTCTTACGAAGAAGAATAATTGAATCTTTTGAAACAATAACACATATCCAGTGCCGTTCTGCCACTGTTGCTGTTGAAGAAAGATGCCGAGCCTGCCTTAATGCTCAAGGAAATCACTTTGAACAACATTTAATATGAATGCTAATATTTATATTTAATTAATAAAATATTTAGAACAAATATGTAGGTTTTATTTATTTCATAATCTTTAGGTATGAATATCTCCTAAACAAAGCATTTGCTGACATACCTCCAGAGGAAATATTTTCTTGTTTGAGGTCCCTAGTTAATTTTTGCAGTTTGGCCACTTAAACATGCGAAAAGTAAGTTTTTTTAATAAAAAAAACTTTATTCTGGGACCAAGTCCCTTCAGAATAACAAAAATGTACAAAATAATATAATATTACTGGCCTAAAAGTTTGAAACAATAAATAAAATTGATAAAATAAAATAAAAAGTAAAGAAAACCTTAGGTGCACAAGCTATATACAATACAGATAAAACTATGTACAGAGCATTTAAAATTATGAGCAAAACAATTAAAACTATGAACGAATCACTTGAACTATGAACAAAATTATATATAAGGGTTGAACAACATAAACATACACTTTGAGAAATGAAGAACGAAAAAGAGATACAATGAGTTCATTTCATAAAAAAAAAAACTTTACTTGAATATATATATATAAAAATAAATAGTTAATTACAATTGAATAAAAAAAAATGTATGTATTGAAATTCCTACGTCGATAGTAGGAAATACATGTACTATCTCTTACCAAGTATTATGATTATCTGATTGCTACGCAATACATATATAATATTAATAGTTAGCTGGTATCTGACTGTTTTTGGAACAGGAATTGGAATAGGAGGCTTTTGAATGTGTATAGGGAAGGGGCATGTTGTAAGTTGTGCGACCTAGCTTTGCTCAGTGTAGCGGGAACAATAAATAAAAACAATATATGTAATATAATATGTTTATATATAATATTATGTGCTGGCAGGGTGTCAGGGAAGGTGCAATTTAAGTGTAACGGTTTTACGGGACTTGCTTTCGTTTTAATATTTTGTAAGATTTATGTATCTGTTTTTTAAAATTAAGATAATTAAGGAAGAGAGGCAACTTCAATGCGTGCGTTAGGGCACCATTATCGATTGGTGCACACCTGGGTAAATCGAATAGGATCTTTATAATTTTTCGATACATTTTTAATATAAAGCATCCTGTATTACATAATAAAATGAATGGTTGTTACAATTGCTTTAGACAGTGAGTATAGAATAACATTAATGTGAGTACGTTATTTTCTGTCTAGTTTGATGGCCGGTCTCAAAATGAGCTGCTCCATTCTTCTTCCTTTTCATACTTTAATGATGGCTTTGAAGATGCAGATCATTGTTAACCGATAGAGCATTAACCATTAAAAACAGTTCTCTTTTATCCATTAACATCACACCATTATTTAGTTCCAGTTCAATTAAGACGGTATGTGTGAAAGAACTTGCCATAGCTTTAATATTATTCATATTAGCCGTATTGTAATATTATTAAACAATGTGCAGTGAGGACTCAAGAAAAAATAATATATTAAAAACATTTTTGCATCCAGACAATAGTCATATATAATTTAGTGAAAACCTTGTATTGGATCTGCATAGATTACCTAGAAAAAAAAAAACACACACTCACATCCCTGGATAAATATTTTTCTTTAAGAAAATATTGGGTAAGAATATCAGTTTTAGTTTTTCGACCAAATTATTTGTATTATTGAGCAATCGATATTATCAAGGAATTTATAAACAAAATCAAAACTTGCTGTAGAGCAAAAAAACACGTAATACAATAATTATTTCTTGTTCAGAGTTCAGCACATTTTGATTTTTCATAAAAAAAGTCCGATTGAACAGGCAGAAAATTTGATATAGAATAACTAATGTTTTTTTAAAAATATTTTGTGTTTAATCATGACATGGGAATGAAACAGAAAATGGTTTTTGAATATTGGAAACAAAGAAGTGATTCTAGTTTCGGATTAAGGTTAACCCTAAGGTGTAAATTTAACGGTACTATAAATCAAAAAAATTATTATTTACAATATTTAAACTAGGAGACTCATTTTATAAGAGTACACAAAAAATATGGCCGAACATATGTAAATTTATTCATTAGAATATAATTTATATTTATTCATTATTAATATGGGAGATAATTTTCATGCTAAAAATAATCGTAGTATAGAATTAATGCGCAGGTGTGACTCTATATTTTCTAATGTAACCAAATAAATTTCTAAGTTCCATAAATTGATTTTAAAGAATCGCGAAGAACCATTTTATGTTTTAAAGTGAGGTTTCATTTTTTTTTTTAAATAATATTAATTCCTAATCTTATTTATTAATGATTTTCCATTTTTTTTTTAAATATCAATTTTTGATTACTGCCAGATTCAAGGGAGCTTTCGGGCTGAACCCTCCCACCTCAAAAAAAAAAAAAGGAAATCATTTTTTTTATTGGTTCACATTTGTTTTTATGAGTTATATAAGCCAAATACTTAAATCATCACGACATGTTTTCTTTTTTTATATTTCAATAAATGCAGGATGGTCTCAAAAACTTTCTTCTTGAAATTTTCAAAAGTTAGGACTGATATTTTGTCACTTTTCATGGAATCTATGATTTGAAACTAGATCAATTGACGCACTTTTGAGTGGTTAAATCAAGTTTAATTGAGGCATATATCTAACTAGGATAGGATTTTTGAAAATATTTTGTTATATTTCACATTTTTTTTCCTTTTCAATCCATGTAGTTCATGAGTTTGTCCAAGAGGAACTGAGACACCTTGCAGATCTTCCTCAATTCTCGAATGGTAAAAAAATTACTTCGTTGCTAAAAGAAATTATAGAGCATGGCGAATAATATTTTTCAGTAAACTAGTGTCTTTTATTCATTAGTTTAGCGTTGCACTCATAAAGAGCTTTTAATGTAGTTTTGGCTCATTAATTAAAATTTATTTCAACAAGTATAGATAGTTAACTTGTTAGAAACGATGTAATAATAGTGTTGTTTTTTTGTTTTGTTTTTTATTTATTTATTGATTATTACAACAATCTGTTTCTTGGACATTGGTTATATTGAGGTAGGATGACATTCACACTATATGTACAAAAATATAAAATAAATAGAAGCAAAATAATAATCAAAAGTAGAAACAAACATAGTTGTAGATCAATGAAATTTGTGAATTATGAATGTACAATTGCGTAAAAATTAATTATTAATTATATACATGGATTACAAACCCTTCCTACAATTGCATTTTTACTAAACCTATTTTGAAAACGAAGAACATATTTTGCTTATAATATCAAACCTTCATGAATTCAACGATATATATATTTTGTTTTTATGTACATCATTATAAACTAAAAAGCAGATGGATGCTATATTTTTCAATGGATACTGAGTTCCGGGAAGTACTGCTTATAATTGAGTATTCGTCTTACAAATAATAATAAAAGTTTTCTCAAATAATTGTTTGGTTAGTTCGTCAATTCGACAAAGGTTAACCATTCTATGAGTGAAGATAAAAAAAAAAAAAAATCACCTGCCAAGTTCCGAAACCAACTTTAGGCATGAAGTATCCCGAGGGCAACAGTATTGATGACGACATAACGTCTATTGAAGTCCCGCTCAACTACTAGATACTAATCAAGCTCAGCTTCAAAGTTTCTCCCACCTCCTCAGGCATTAGTAGATCCGGAGGGGGGACGCGGGGGCCCCCCTAAACGAATGTTTTTATATTATGCTACATAATTATCCTATTCAAAACAAAATTTGTAATATTATAAAATAAGTAGGTATTTAAACTTATTCTTTTAAATGAACCCGTTGTTGGATTTGGATTCCATGCAATACAGTAGAATCTCTGTCTCGATTGCTTCTGATGGATTCATAATTGATGAAGAAGAAAATTTAGATAAACAACAAGAAATTATTGAAAACTATCATTTAGAAAAAAAATTCAACATCGCGGTATATTAGAAACGTTTGAAAAATTAAGAAGACTAGTTTATTTTCCCAATATGAAAGATAAAATTACAGAATATATTAATAAACGTGAAATATGTAAAAAAGCAAAGTATGATAGAAAACCAATTAAAACTAAATTTGAACCAACTCCCACACCGGAATAATCTTTTCGAGAATTGATGATTGATATTTTAAAATATGAAAATAAAATAATATTTACTGCTGTTGGCACATTTTCGAGTTAAATAACGCAATTAATACTTTTGCAATTATAACGATTGTTTGCAAAATTATTTATCTCGCTATCCTACGCCAACACAGACCTCATTAGATCAAGGCACAGAAATGAAAAATAACTTAGTTCAACAATTTTGTAAACATAATAATATTTCTTTGCATCATACTTCCTCCAATCATTCAAATTCATTAGTATTACTGAACAGAGTTCATTTGATATTAAGTGAATTATTAAGAATAATTTCACATAAAAAAAACTTTACATTTGCAATAATCGCATACAATAATACTTTAAAACTAACTCCGAATGAAATTAGATTTGGTTTTATACAAGAAAATAATAATAAAAAAAATCTTAATAGAACAGAATTATAGGTGCGAAAATATATAAAGATTTAGAACTTCTTCATGAATTAACACATAAAGATTGATGCAGAAAAAGAAAAACGGACGGAAAAATTAAAGATCCACCTGAATTAACGGAACAAGAATTTATTAAAAATACACATTCGAAAATTAAATTTTTTTTATTTTTTTAAACTTATTTATTGAAAAATATTGCAATCTGTCTCAAGGACATTTATAATAGTGTTCTGAGATCACTTTCACACTCTATGTACAATAAATAAAATAAATTATACAGAAAAATAATATATATACAATAAATAAGAATAAAATAACCTAAAAATAATAAAATAAACAGAACACATACCTATATACAATATTTACAATCTGGCGAGAGATCTCCAAACCAGACTTGTCCCTCCAACTGTCATGATTCCAGGAGATCCCTCCACTTCTCTTTCAACCGCGTCACTGGGGCTAAACCCAGTGGAGATTGAGCAAGAGTACTTTAGCCTCATACATTCATGTCGTGAGTGGAGAATCTGGCCATTGCCAGAACTCCAATATTTACAAACTATAAGAGGTCGCGGGGCCACTCGTTAAATTCTGTAATGTTAAAATTTTTGGAGGGTATAAAATCGTTTTATGATATCAGATCCTTTTTCGGCGATCATAATCGTCGGTGCATTGGTGTTTCCACCAGGTATGCTTGGCATTATAGAAGCATCTATTACCCTTAAGTTCCTTATGCCATGAACTTGGAGATCAGTATTTACGACCGCTCCCGGGTCTTCCTCGCCCCCCATTTTAGCAGTTCCAACGGGGTGAAAAATCGTCTCAGAATAGAAATTAATTATACATTTGATAAAATTATTCTGATTCATGCCTTTGCGTTTAGGATAAAGTTCGGTACACAATTTAGGAGAAAGTAACATTAACAAATATTAAAAAATAATTGGATTAGGCAATAAAAAACACCAGTAAAGTCAAACATTTTAACAAAAAAAAAAGTTGAAAATCAAGCGTCGCTTGTAATTAAACGGGCAACAATAACGCAAAATGTGCTGAAATAAAACATCTTGGAAATATATTTCTCTTTATATAAGTAAGAATATTTTTTTCCAGTGATTTATTCTCCCATTTTTTTCCCACTCTATTATATTATTACATATAACGTTTCGGGATCCATTTATATCCCATCTTCAGACTGTATCCTGCATCATCTTAATTCTCCATAAGACTTGTTATGCTAATAATTTGTTTTATTTTTTGTCTTATCGATGGAAATCTTATTTAAGTCTCCTCTAGGGAGAGTCTAGTCAGATACTGACTACATAATAAGCTTCCTTCGTCCACTTAATATCATGTCAAACTGTCAAACTGCATTTGACCCCATTTTAGCAGCATCTTGAAATATTCTGTTCACCTGTCTACTATATATTTTCTTTTTCTTTTCCGAGATGTTGGCATTTCTTTTCTCGTTCGCTTAACGTATTTTTCCAATTTTTGGGTTCAATTTCGCGTTTTTCCTCATTTTGAGACCACTTCCAAACAATCGGTTCCGGTTACTAGAAGAACTTATAGTTTCACCCTTTCCATCTTTATTTATGCACAGGGAATAATGCATTCATTAATAAAATTTTCTATTTTTTTATGATATGCTCCAAGTTCAATGCAACTATTAATTATTTGTAGTTCAGATTAGGTATATATTATTTTAGTTTATAAAACAGTTATTGATATGACTCAATTCCTGGAAAGTATATACAATTTAAATTACCTCTGAGAATCAGTAAATATACAGAATAAATTGCAAACGTTAAATAAAAAATTCAAGATATTCAGAAAAGTATTTTTTAATTAAGTTTTACTATTATAATTATATCATTTTTACAGTAGATGTATACCTAAACGACCTCCGAATAGAATAAAGTAAGTTAAATAAAAAAATTGTTAATTTTTTTGACAATTAAATGATTGCATTAATATTTGTTCGTTAATACAATCAATATAACGTATAATACAACCAAAAACGTTATTATATCACTATAACTAAGCCATTTATGTGTACAGAATGGTGTGGTAGAGGCTTGTAGGCACCTACGCCGGCACCGCTTTTCTCCCTCATAAGTGCATTTTCTACGGAACTGCTTCAAATATTCTGAAAAGTAATCAGTGTTTTAGAAAGAGAAATATATTTTCCAGATGTTTTATTTCAGCACATTTTACGTTATTGTTGCCCGTTTAATTACAAACGACGCTTTATTTTCAACTTCAAAATTTCTTTGTTAAAATGTTTGACTTTACTGGTGTTTTTATTGCCTAATCCAATTGTTTCTTAATGCTTTATCATTCTTTGACTATTCAGCTTTAATAAAAGAACAACCATCTGGAAATTAAGTCAAGTGCTGATTCTCAGTGACCATAAAACTAACTAAAGTCAAAGTCGTCAATCCGCCATTTTGGGCCAGTACGTTCACTTTTTTTTGTGGGAACATTGGCTTTTTTTAAATAAATAGTTACAAGGAACACAACGATATGCAATTTATAGGGATGTGGGGAGAGGGGGAGGTGTACGATAGGGGGTCTGGCCCAGCGTGTATTATAATAGAAATAAGACGAGGGAAAAATGATAGGTATGATTAAAGAATTAGTTAGGATGTAAATTATAACATTGAAGTGAGTAACATCCTTGATTATACTTTTAAAGGTAATAGTTCAGAAATTGAACTAGAATGGCGGAAAGGCACAAGATCACATTGCATATAGTTAGGAATGGTCTTAAGATGTATTTATGGTTCAAATAAGTTTGCTTCATTAATCCACTGAGTTATGGACTACAACTAACTAACATAAAAACCAATCCGAAACAATAATAATAATATTATCATATAAAAATTATGGAAAAAGCTTGGAGGGATATTATAAAAAAAGAAAGAATAAAAACCATAACAACCTTGATATAAAACCACTGGACTAGCGGTTTGTGCACATATTCTGAATCTTACGCAATCAGAACTTAGTAGTCTAAACTAGTATGATTTATGATATTTTACAAATCATACCAATACTGTAAAAAAAATAAATGTTCTTCTTTAATAATAAAGTTTCCTTGTTATTCATGGGTGGTCTTCAGAGATAGTAAGTCAGTATCAGGCAGCTGGTTGGTATCAAGAGAGCATGTAAGTCTCTTAGATAAACCTGTTTAGTTTTTAAAAACCAATTTCCCATCCTTCCTAGTCCAGACGTTCTATTTTTGTAGAAAAGAAATTGGGAGTTCAGAGAAAAAATATTAATCATATTTAAGAAGTAGATTTGAAAATACAGTAATGATTAAATGTCATATAACGATACTTAAAGATAATAAGTAGATAGTTTTAAATTCAGATGAAACCAAATAAATGGTAATTATTAAAGTAAATGTAAAGTAAATAATCTTATAGTTAACAGTTGTAGAATTGAAAATAGGAACAGTCTCATAAATAAGAATAAAATTGAAACTAAATAATCTGAGAATTTATTTCATTTTACACATTATTTTTAAATATATAATTTCTGTTAGATGTAAATAATTAAAATAAAGAATGGAGTATTGAGTTGATTACAAAAAATTTTTGAGTTAACAATTAATTTGGAATAAGGATTGTGAAGGAATCAAGGGATCCACTCTTCTCCCTCAAGCATCTCAGAAATGAACTCCTGCACCCTTTGGAATATTGATTTATTATCTGCAGTATACAAATCAGCTAAGTAATCTTCATTACGAATGCAGAAGTATGATCTGATAGGGCTCCTAAAAAAAAAAAAAAAATGTATACATATATAAATAAATAATTCATCCAAATCCACACATGCATTTGTGAGTAGTATATTTTTGTATATCGAAACAGATCCTATATTCAAAATGTTAAAAAGTCTAGCACTACTAGTCTGCAAAAAACAATTTAGATTCTTTTTTCTATATTTTATACAAATGTATTTGTTGGTGGTATTACATTAATTAACTATTTTATTTTGTTAGAAAGCAATGGAGGATTTATTAGTTTCCTGTTATTTCTTAATATTTTTAGCTATTGTAATAAATAGTCATTAATACTTTATTTGTTTAATAATACTTATTATCTTTCCAATTTATTTTAATTGTTTTAATATATCTTAAAATATGGCCATGAAGAAACATGATTTACTTCCTATATTCTTTATGAATAATAAATTGGACATTTGGCAAGAGCTAACAAACTGCAAGAAACATTACTATAGTGCAGGGGTTCCCAACCCAGAGCTTGAGCTTTTTTTTACTTGAGGGCACCATGTGATCCCCCTATGTCTAACATAACCTTTAGCGGCCATCACTTTGACTAGTTTTACTGTTGCTTGCTACAGATCGAAGTTTTCTATTAAATATTGAATATTTTTTTTTTTTTTTTTTTTATTATTTCAATGGAATTTACAACTGTATTACATAGAGAATACAATAAGTAAATGAGAAATTTGTAACATGGCATGTACAACATGAAGAGAAACTACCCATTGGTAGAACTCAAATTAAAGTTCTATATTAGAAGATCCCGAGGCCATCTTCTTTTCAGACGCCTCGGAGGGTTATCAGGGATCGAGGAGGAAGCAAGGTTTGAAACGAGAGGATTCGGATGATTCTGCAGTTTGTTATGGAAGGAAAGGTATCTGGATTGGGCCAGATCGGAAACATATGGAACATTAAGGTCTTTATGGATGATTTTATTTGTGACAAAGTAAGGAGCGTTGAGGATTTTACGAAGGATTTTGGATTGTAAGGATTGGATACGAGAGGAATTCGATGGTTTAGTGGAGCCCCAAAGCTCAATTCCGTAAGTCCAAATAGGTCTTATTATTGTCATATATACGAGTCGTTTATAATTGATTGAAAGCTTAGATCGTTTGTCTAGTAAGTGCTGCAGTAGTCGAAAACGTCGGGCGGTTTCTAGTCGTTTCAGTCTGGTATGGGGGTTCCAAGTGAGTCGTTTGTCAAGGTGGAGTCCTAAGTAGCGGATTTGCTCAACAGGAATAAGTGGAGTATTATTGAAGGATACTGTAGGACAAGAGGTCATAGGTTTACGACGGAGGGTAAAAGTGATTTGATGGGATTTGTTGGAATTTATTTTTATTCTCCAATTTTTACACCATTCTTCAAGGCTTGTGATATGTGATTGAAGAGTTTGGGATGCAATTAAAGGATCGTTATTAACTGATAGGATACACGTGTCATCGGCATAGGTGGTGATGACAGTGTTGGATTGGGTTGGGATGTCAGCTGTATAAACTGTGTAAAGGATAGGACCTAGGATACTACCTTGAGGAACACCGGCAGACTGAGTAAAAAGAGATGAATAAGCATTGTTATGATTGACTTTGAAGTATCTGTCAGTAAGGTAGGAACGTATAATGAGGAAGTATGTAGGTGGTAGGAATTCACGGAGTTTGTACATCAGTCCCGGATGCCAGACTCTATCAAACGCCTGTTCAACGTCGAGAAAGACTCCCGTGCAGTACATTCCGCGCTCCAATGCAGAGGAGACTACATCTACCACACGATGGCATTGCTGAATAGTGGAGTGGGATGTGCGGAATCCAAATTGGTGATCTGGGATAATGTGTTTAGAGTCTAGGATGGGATACAGGCGTTTTAAAATGAGTTTTTCCAGGATTTTGCCCATAATGGGTAAAAGGGAGATAGGACGGTAAGAGGATGGGTGTTCTGGCGGCTTTGTGGGTTTAGGTATCATTTTGACAATGGATAGTTTCCAAGAGTCAGGAAAATATGTGGTGCGGAGTACAGCATTAAATATATAGGTTAGGAACAATATGGCTTTTTTAGGAAGACATTTTAGGATCTGGGAGGTGATTAGGTCATGGCCAGGAGCTTTGCGAGAAGGTAATCTATTAATGATATTGGATATTTCTGAAGGATGAAATGCTTTAGGTGGAGGAGTCAATTGGAGTGGGGTATCCAATTCTGCTTCAATAAACTCAAGGTGGGTTGGATTAAGGATGTCTGGGTGTGGATTAAATGTTTTTGAGAGGTGTTGAGCAAATATTTGAGATTTTTCATCATCAGATCTGGACCAGGTTTGGGTTTCAGTAATAAGTGGGTGGTTAAAATCTTTGAATTTAAGGAGTTTTTTAGTGGTCAACCATAGTGATTTGTCACAAGTAGTAAGTTTTTCTGTCATGTTATGTAAATTTTGAACTTTGTATTTTCTAATTTCAGCTTTTAGTTGGTTAGTTAATTTGTTGTAATATGTCTTATCTGATGGATATCTAGTCCTGTGCCACTTCGATCTTGCTCTGCGTTTTTCCCTTAATAAGATACGAATATGCTGCGGCAAATTTGTCTGTTGGGAGTTGTCAGTTTTATTGGTAGATGTATTATTCTTTATTTTGTCACTTATAGATGTAGTAAGTTCTTTTATGGCTGTGTCAATATCACGTTTCGTCTTAAGTGGAATATTTAGGTCCAATTTATTTTCCAGGTCTTTACGAAAATTGTCCCAGTTTACTCGTCCTGTAATCAGTGTAGGAGAGGACGAGGGCTTAGGAGCGAAGGTTGTGTGTAATGAAAGCAGAACTGGAGAATGATCTGAGGAGAGGTCATCCAGGGATTTTATTGTGACATGGGAAGAGGAAATTTGGGAGGTGACAAATATGTCGAGGATATCAGGGCGTTTTTTGAGGGATGTTGGCCAATAGGTAGGATTCATAGGAGAGAGGACAGAGTAACTATTGGAAGTTGAGACAGAAGATAGTATGTTACCACGGGAGTTGGATGATCGACAACCCCATCGTTGGTGTTTAGCATTGTAGTCTCCTCCAGCAATAAAGCGCGATCCGAAGGATTGAAATAAGGATTCAAGTAAGTTATAGGTAAGAGTATGACCGGGAGGACAGTATACAGCTGAGAATGTTAAATGGAAAGGACGAGTTGAAATGATAACCGAGGTTGCTTGAATAGCCTCCGTTGGAGTAGAAGGAATGAGAGAATGGGATAAGGATTTATGGATAAGGATGCAAGAACCGGCATGGGAAGTGTTGTCGGGGTGGTCTGATCTATAAGTGATATAGTCACGTATGTAGAAATATGAACGTCGAGTGAAGTGAGTTTCTGTCAGTAGAGCAATATCAATGTGATAGTCATGAAGAAAAATGTCGAGTTCGTCTCGGTGGTTTTGTAGTCCGTTAGCATTCCATAAAAGAACAGCTAGGGGCTTAGTGCTCATCGTGAGAGATTGAAGGGAATTTCGGTAAGGATTCTTGTGAGGAGGGTAATTAGTGGCTTGATAGTCTCTTGGAGATCTTTCAGGAAGGACGCAAGGGTGGAGTTTATTAAATCGATCGGGTTTTGTTGGTCAGGTTGGTTTTGATTAGGAGTTCGTGAGGGAAAGATCTTATGATAAGGAGTGTCTGATGAAGGATGTACCCTTGGAACTTGGGAAGGAGAGTAAATATGAGCAGAAGGGTGGGAATAAACAGGAGTTGGATGTTCGGGCGGTAATTTTACACGTATAGGTATCTGGTGAGGAGGCATTTGCTGACGTGGAGATTTTGAATGAATGTGGGAGATTTGAGTCTTGGATTGGGAGGTCTGGATCTTAGGTTTGGAAGCCTGAGTCTTAGTTTTGGAAATCTGAGGCGTCTGACGTCGCGGCTGTTGATTCTTCACCGTAGTGTCTGAATATAGGTGCCTAGAGTCTTGATGGGGATGATCTGTTGATGTAGAAGGGTTGTGCGTCAATTGTGGTATTATTTCGTTCGGCAGTTGAGGAAACGCTGCCAAATTTAGGAGTTCAGGTGCCTGTACCTGTGCCTGGGTAGAATTCTTCTGTTCTTCTTTTAATGATAAATTATAAGTTCTTTGCTTGTATAGCTTCTTATAGATAATGCAGCCCCGATAGGTTGCAGGGTGGTCCTCACCACAAAGGGCACATTTTGGTGGTTCATTTAACGGTTTCTGGCAGGTGTTAGAGGCGTGAGGCCCGGCGCATTTAACGCAACGCACCGAGTGATGGCAGTAAGCCTTTGTATGCCCTAAGTTTTGGCACTTGGTGCATTGAACGACTATTGGTTTCTGCCTCGGCTCTTCAAATTTTACAACAGAATACAGCAGTCTTTTAACTTCGAAGATTTCTGCATTATTCCGGGCTGGTTCTAGATCGATGAAAAATAATGGCAGTGGATATTTATCAATAGGATGTAAAATAGAAGATATATGTCTTACCGAATGGCCGATATCTTCCAGATCTTTTTTTATAGCGGTAGTGGGTGTGGTAGAGTGAAGACCTCTCAAAACCACTCTATATGTTTTGTCTTCTTTTAGTTGATAGCAGTGGAAGTCGTGATTGAGTGCTGTCAAATGATTTATAAGTTTTTTATAATCATCTTTAGTATTGGTGTTAATCTTTATATCGTTGACTCGAGAAAAACACCGGAAGTTGGTCGGTCCGATCAGATTAGCTATTTCTTGACCGAACTGAATGAAATTGTCAATCTTGCTTACATAAATCGGAGGTGGCACTGGTTCAGTGAAAGTTCTAGGTTCAGTGATTTCGTTAATTTTATTATTGGCTGTAACAGAATTGTTACTGGATGTGTTAGTTGATGGTTTAGTGTCAGGTTTCATAGCTGAATTATTACTAGTTTTTGATTGTTTATTTACTTTGAGAGCTTGCTTTGTTTTAGCGGATTTGTTTTTTTTTTTATTAGGTGAGTTGCCCGCCGAACCGGGGGCAGAGTTTCTATGGCGCTTTTGGAGAGTTCGCCTTGTTAAATATTGAGAATCAGTCTCACTGATTTCGGAGAAAGGAGTCTCTTCATCTGATTCGTCAAAAGAAATGTTCTTATCAGAATCCATACCTCTAAATAATAATATATACAAAAAGAAGAGAGAAAAAAAAAAGTATCACTAATAAGAAAATTTACAAAACAAATACTTAATAACTAATCTATTTACAAATATATATACAAATATTAAAAAAAACATTTTTATAAATAAATAAAATAGAGTCTCAGTAGAAAAAAAAATATTAAAATAAAATAATCAATTAAGAAATAAAAACAGAGAAAAAAAAAAATATATACTGTCTTAGGTACGAACTCAAGATATTCTGAACGTAAAATAAAGCGCCGTGACCTTGAATTTGAAAGATAAGACCCGCTGAGGGGAATTATCTGCCACGTAAACTGTCTCTAGCAATCGAGTACCAATTTAATGTTGCTAATTGTTAATAAAAGTCACTCACCTCACTGATTGTAATGTAAAAATGTTAAATTGTTTATAAACTCACTGTTTACAAAGTCTGAGAACAGGATTTGAGATAATAAGCACATAACAAACTAGCAAAGACGGAACGATACGAATATAGAACCTCAGTTTCGGCCATGACACTTACGACTCATATTGAATATTTATTTAGATAAATACCTAATAATTAATTGTTAATATGAATGCTCACTTTGAAAGTTGTAATTTATTTTTTATATTTTTAAATCATCATTTTTTTAAGTGGCATGCTGCCGACAAGTTTTCATTACTAATGTCGGATATCATCTACATTTTTTACGATTCCTTTATTAAATTTATGAATATTTACAAATCTAACAAGAGTTTATAGATATAAAATTTAATAATAATTATCTAAAAATAATAATTCATTTATCGATATATCATTACTATTGTTTTGATTAATATCTTTGTTTGGTAGTAAAAAAAAAATGAATGACACTGTTGGTAACATAGCATTCAACCCATTTAATAACTAGTTATAGCCCATGTTGCTTTTAATTAATTTTCAATTTTAATTTGAAAATGTTTTAATATAATATAAGAAAACTATATAAAATTAATACAATCATTGCATAGTGTTTTGCCTTGTCTGTAGAAATATATTTCATTAGTTTTAGAAATGATAAAGATGTCTGCTACAATAAGTATATATATACATATATATATATTTTATTGATACCACTTACATTTTGTTTTTAAATTTATATACAGTAACCTACCTGCAATTTACAATGAACAAAAAAAAAAAAAAACAACAACAGGATGCTCCCATTCAAGACATAACCTATAAATGTGCCTGCTGCTGAAAAAAGGTTGGGAAAACCTGCCATAGTGTATGAGATAGGGAGTTTGAATAAATGGTCATTTATTTTGTCATTTTACTATACTTTATTTAAATTAAATAAAAATAAGATTTTCACAACATATCCAAACAGTATATTAAAATCCAATTCATTGCATGTCAGAGTAATTTACAATTTCAAACGAAAATGTTGCAGCAAATCTTAATAATGGTTACCCACACTTTCGAGACACTTGCAGAAGATGGGAAAATTAAAAAAAACATTAATAAATGAGCACTAAATGAACTTCTATTTAATAACCACTGACCTGATCTTTCAAAACAAACTTAAATCAAACTAATTGATTTTTCTATACCCAACTTATTCTCAAGTGTTGTATTCAACAGATTTCCACTATCTTAAAAATTTGGACAATAGCAAAAAATTTTTTTCGAAAATGTATAGGTACAAAGATATGTTTTTTGATTTTATGCCTACTCAAAACTCAGAATTTTTTAATAATATATATTTCACAAATTGGGACTTAAATCTTTAAAGTAAATGATAATAAACTTCAATTCAATCGAAACCACAATTTTCAGAACCAGGCACTCTGGGACTCACACCCCAACATAGCTCACCTATCACGTCCTTTGTTGAGATTTCTGAAGGCAGCTTTTAAGTGTTGGTTGCTGAACTATACCTAATATTCTATTTGGAAAGTCTCCTTACAGATTGTTTATATTATCATTATATTAAAATATAATAATAATAAACATTATTATTACTATTCAAGGATAGTTACTAGCCTTAAAAAGTATTAGTGATTACAAAGACATATGCAAAAAAAAAAATATATTAATAAAGCATTAATTCAGTATAACAAAATATCTAAACAAGATTTTAATTATATTAAATTCAATGTTAATTTTGAAACAAAATTTCAATAATTATTTAAATAAATATAGAAAGATTTATGAACCAATGATAAAAAATTAGACTTACAAATCAACCAATAAAAAAAATTAAGTGAGTTCAAAAAAAAAGAGGGAAAATCACACCGTTGAGACTATTAAATAATCTATAACATTGTTTTCAAAACAATACTAACTTTTTTAAATTTAAACTATAAATATAATAGTAAATAGACATTACCTGCACAATGGACAACATTTCAATCTATTGAAACAAGATCCACAAACACAAGTGTGCCTGCATGGTAACAAGGCACGGGATATAGGTAAATTTAAACAAACAACGCATATATGCTGAGACCTTTCTCTTCCCAATCTATTTAGATCCTTTTCCATATTTACATTTTCTGGATCATCATTGGCAAGATACAGTTGCTAAAACAGTTATTTGACAGTTAAGCAATTTCATTATTAGATTAAATAATCCTAAAATATATTTTCTTAAAAATAAATATATCTGCAATACTGAAAGAGAGTATACAGTATGATTGGAGTACCTCTGTTTAGATTGCGACTTAATAATGTTTTTGATTATTTCATTTACTGTAGAATATTGCTTCCTCATTTGATTAATTTACAAAATGAGTTCAAAATGAATATGGTAGCCTATAGATTTATTATAGTAATCTAATTTACCTTAAGTCTTGAAACCTGTCCATTGGCTTGTTTCAGGTACTGTGAAATAATACTAATTGGCAATTGGGAGACAGATTCGTTATTCACATGTAATATACTAATCAATGCTACCTGAAAGGTTAAAAAAAAAGAAAAAGATATTATGACAAAAATCTTAAATTTCAGAAGACATAGATGACAGTATGATATGGAGAGGTATTGAAAAACACTAAATTAGTGTTTCTCTAGAAGTGTTTCATTCCTAATGTTGCTTTTGCAATATTCAAATATAGCTATAGCCTAATTACTTAAGGAGATAGTTTTGGTAAAACTTGGACAGATTTTATTTAAATTAATGATTAAAAGCTACTACTACTAATAATAAATTTTCTGTATCCTTCATTAAGAAAATACAATTTATTAAATATTACTTTGTTTATTTATTATCACTCAATAACGATACTGATAATAAAGGTCAAAATCAGATAACAATAAAAAAAACATTGGTAATCTAGTTTGATCTGACCATCGATTAAACATTAATGTGATGGTAAAAATCACTTTCCCAGCCAAGAAAACAGTTTTTGCTTTTATTGGAGCTGGTTCCCCAATTGTAGTCCACTATATGGACTGTATTTTTGTTTCGGGCGTATAATGGTGTATCCAAGTTTCATCTACAGTCATTATTCGCCGGCAAAACTTGGATTTATTGCGCCTAAACTGCACCAACAGAGCATTGGAAATGTTCATTCAAACACATTTTTGGTCTAACGTGAGCAAACGCGGCACCCAACGTGTGGACAGCTTTCTAATATCTAAATGTTGATTTAATGTGTAACAAACACGTCCTTTTAACTTGCTCATAACCTCTGCTATCTCTCTCACTTTAATTCGATGGTCGTCTAGAACCATTTGGTGAACTTTAGCGATGTTTTTGTCGGTAGTTGCAGTTTTTGGATTTACCGTTCATCATCTCCCAAACTCTCACGGCCACGTTTAAATTCAGCTGCCCAAAATTTCACTGTGGTAAATGATGGTGCAGAGTCCCCATACACAGAATCCAACTCATCTTTGATTTGCGTAGGCGTATTGCTTTTCAAAAACAAATATTCAATGACAGCTAGATACTCGATTTTGTAGACTTTCACAAACTCTCACATCAACTCAAACAACTGTTACATAAAAACTGTGCGTCCAAAATGGCTGAAACTTTGGTAGGTAACTGCCAGCAGATGAACAACAAAATTTACTTGCTTTTATTTACCAGAGCTGCCATATTCACCTGGTGGATGGAAACTTTTCAGACCACCCTCATATTTATGAGTCTTAGCATGGCTTAGATGAATACAAAATGATTGTGTAGTTTATTGAATTAAACAGTGTACAGACACAAGTAAATTTTTATATATTTGCGGAAGTTTGAATAATGGAGTAGGTGGTGGAACAGGAGTTGTTTGAAGGAATTTTTGGATGAGGATTGACGTATGGAGTTAGGTAGAGAGTTCCAAAAAAATATAGCATGAATGATGAAGGATTTGCTGAAGGAAGTTGTTTTATGGGAAGGAATATATAGATTTATAGGTTGAGACCTGGGACTGAGATAGTGGATAGAGGAATGCAGTGTAAGGAGTTACAGGATATAGATGTATCTTATAAAACATTTCACGAGTTCCTTTAATCTCGTTTCTAGCCTGGCAGATAACCCTCCATACATCAAGCAGCCGTAGTTGAATTGGGGGAATATAATAATGGAATGTTAGGACTTGTTTAAGGACAGTTATGGATTTTCGGGTAATCTGGGAGATATGGTTATTCCAGAAGAGGTTCTGGTCAAAGATTAATCCTAGGTTTTTGATCAGAACCTCTTTCAGAAGATTTTCAGCACTGTTTCAGGCAATGGAAGATTCTCATGGAGCATTTTAGCAATGAAGATGGGGTGATAATTCAAGGTGATAAAGAGTTAATAAGTATGAAATCAAAATAAAATGTTTTACAGCATCAGTCTCGTTATTTAATAGCCACATCTCATATATGTTGATGGTTGACTGTATGATAAATCAAAAAGGAGATCAGAAAAAACATCAAATAATTGCTGACTATTTATTCAATACTAGTTTTGACTCACATAGGTATTCATGGAGGCTGAAATATGGAGACTAGTAGCTGTCAATTGAATAGTTGCAAGAGCCGGTATTGAATGAATCATCAGAATTTAGAGTCAATAGCATTTATACCATAGTTATGATAACTATACAATATAAGAAATTTATTAGTAATACCGATTGCTTATGATGGTAATATAAAAAAAAAAAACTGAACAATAAATAACAGAATATTATTAAATAAATTAAAATGTTAATCAAATGGGCCACTGCTACTGGAGAGGGGGAGGGGCACAACCGAAAAGTAGGCCTAATGGTTTTTTTTGCCAACCTCAAAGAACATATCAATGAAAACCTATTTTTCCTCAATCTTTTAGTTATTCAAATTGAATAGAGATAACTATTTAATGGAGAAAGCTTTCTATTCTAAGATTTTAACAGAACCCAGAACCTAAGCAACATATATTGATCATACTGCAATATAATGAAGAACAGTTTCCAATGCTTTCCCCCAAAGGAGGCACAACTTCTACTATTTTATAAACCTTAAAGTGTTTTTAGAATCTGTAACGACCTATGAATAGTCCAACAGTTCATTTTTTAGGCTAAGTATTCACTTGATTCCAGAAGGGCAAAGTTTTTTAATAAATGCCTTTCTTTGTATAAGCCCAAAACATTCTATGCACTCCTTACCGGTTTTTCTTTGTGCTCAAAGAAGGATCACTTTGCCTTTATGCCATATGCCTAATGAAGATTATGGCATTAAAAGAGGAATCTGAACATCGATTCTTGCAAGCTCATCAGCTTTCTCATTGCCTATAAGAACTCTGTGACTAAGAACCCATACTAGCACCAGTTTCTTAGAGCAGGCAAGAGTTTCCAAGGCCTGTTCACATTCTCTCACTATATTGGAGGTCACTTTAGAGGACTCTAAGGCTCGAAGAGCTGACTGACTATCTCCATAGAGAGACTTCCTAACATGTGGCTGCTGACAATATGGCAAATACGTCTGCCTCAAATAAAGTAGAATGCTTGCCTAATGGAATACTAAATTCTGTGCCTAAGTCCTCTATGTGGACTTTCATTAAATAATCTTATGCAAACCTGTCAGCCAAAAGTGCAACAATAACCTAATAATATATAAAGTTGACCTTTAATAATACTTTAATATTGTGGTATAATATTGACTTTTTGTTCAACATACGCAAACAAGCCTTATCGTGAATTGATGATAAAGGTTCATTTTTCATCAGAAATAATTATTTTTATGAAGTTAACTTACAGTTTCTTCTGGTTTAGGGGTTTCTTTACAGTCAGTAACCAAAAATATGACCAAAGGATAACACAATGTTGGAGCAGCCTTAAAATCATCAGAATTTAAAGAAGGAATGGGTATTTTGAGGACTTCCTCTTCATGGCTTGCATTTCTGAAAAACAAATGGATCAGATAAAAATTAATTTCATGATAGAGAAAAATAATAAGTAAAGTCTGTATTAATACTACATTAAATATTTGATTAAGAATATAATAAAATATCTAGGCCATAAGCATAATTTAACATTGATTAGCAGAAAAATTAAAATATTTTTTAGACATACATGTCAGCTTCATAATTCTGTGAAGACGAATACTTATGAATAACCAACCCTTTTAAATGTTTATATCTTTGAAAAAATATTACTATAGTTCGAATGTGATAAGTTGGCAAGTCAAGGGCAAACTAACGCGACTCAAGGTTGGAAAACATTTTATTTTTCCTTAACTCACCAAAATTACTTACAGAATATTTACAAATGATGAAAAATGGTATCTAAATATTCTATAATTGGTAAATGGTTGACTGTCGTGGATAATGAAGAGAAGAATAGTTGGGGTGGTCAGTCAAAAAAGAAGGCAAAAATAAATGATAATATTTATTTTTACATAAGCCGACGTTTCGACCTGAAGTTCAGGCCATCATCAGAGCTAAGAAAAGAACCAGATAACAAGGTATGAGAAATATAAAAATTACAGTAGAATGAAGATGTTAGAATAATGACAATAGTAAGAACAAGAGACAAATAATAATAACAGGTACAAAGTGTGGAATGATGAAGTAAACATAGTCAAAAAAGGTGACATAAGTATTGTAAAGGGAATCTTAGAATAAAATGTAAAACAGAAAAATATGAAGTTATATAAGAAATGGAAATAAATAGTAAAATTAAGATAGAGTGAATAGAATATTTAGATAGAAAATTGAGATGTTGTAAAGTCTATCAATATGTACAGACAAAGTATGAAATTATAAAGAGTTAAAACAGAGAAAAGGAATGAATGGAAGGAGGAGAGAAACTGAGAAGGTTGAAATAAGAAAGAGAATAAGTAAGAGAAATTATAACAACCTGACTGCTCCTAAGGTGAAGATGCAATAACCTTGTTATTGAAGGATGGAGGTGGATTCACTCTAAATATTCTAATTTATGTATATATTCATAATATTTTAAAAAGTAATATTGGAAATTTAAGAGAAAAACGAAGTGTGAGTTTCAGCTTAGTGCTCCATGACCCAATCAATAGATAATACTGTACAAAAAAAATCTCATGCGGTGCGTGCATCATACAACTTTCACTTACCACCCTCTTCTTAGCAGAAATAAATATTTTCAGACAAAGGGTAAGTGAATGTATAAATTATAAATGCTATATTCATTTTTATTTCATTGTGGATATTTTTATTTGTTTACCCCTATAAGTACCCTTATCTATAAAATTTTTAATATTTATACCGCTGTAATCTATACAATTAAATATTAAATAATACCAACGAAAACATTTAGGAAAACTCCATATTTATATGTACATGATATTGTCGGAGTTCATATTATATTAAACTCATGTTACTTAGGAAACCTGTTCAAGTCTTCGGGCCAGCTCGGGTAAGCTCGTATTCCTTTGATTCCTCTATTCCAACTATTATCTGTTATGATCTCTTATTTCTCTTTTAGTCAATTATCAAATTCCTTCATATTGTATATTTAACTATTTTTATATCAAAGATTATTGTGAAATGGTTAATTATTTCATATAAAAAAAAAAGAAAGGTACTTTAGAGGAAGCCAATATTGAAAATTAGCCATTTAAACTCTGATAGAGAACATCAATGAGAATAAAACCTACATTATATTAAAAACTGCTTAATAATACACTGATAAACTTAGTTTAATCAAATCCGTTAGAGCTGTTTTGAGAAAATCGTAAAAATGTGTTAAATCGATTATATAAAGTACCACTTCCGGTTTCCCAATTTTGACGAAAATGTTGCTGTAACATCAAAAGCTTATACAAACCTTAAATATGCGATTTCACTTTCATACGACTTTGCGTTTTTGAACTAGACTGATAACAAACATACACTCACACACACACAGACCATTTTGTGGGACTTGGTTATTTGGACTTAGGAGACCTCAAAACATGTATTTCTGTTTAAAACTAAGACACGAAAATTTACACGATCGCAATAGTTACCCTTACTATATATTGCATACATAGGTAAGTGAAAGTAATATAAGAGAGAGTTAGGTCGAACCATTGGAATACATATCAGATATGCCAAGAATGGTTTATAGAATCAAATAACCAAAGGACAAAATCAATATATGTGGTGATGGAGGATTTCTAGTGAGTCTAAAATAATAGGTTCTGTCATGGTCTGCATCTGCTCACTTCCAATACTGAGCTTCTGCAAGAATTTACTAGTAATTAGAACCATAGACCTTTAACTAAAGCTAAATTAGGAAAAAGCTAATTAGGAACATAAAATATGAAAACGGCAATATAATTACAATTCTCAAGAAAGATTCCCTGTTAGTGAAAATTACAGATAGCTTAGCCTAACCTCTGCAGCTTCTGTTGGTTGTTTTGATGTTTAGGCGCAAAGCATCCAAATATTAAGAGCCCGATTAACAAAATCATGCTACTGTAAAATATTCAGCAGGTAGGTTTAAAAAAAAAGAAGGAATATATATATATATATAAATATATATATAAATAAATATATATATATATATGGGCTGGGGTAGCCATGCGGGCTAAGGCGCTTGCAATAGGTTATCAAAGTTAAGCAACGCCGAGCGTGGTTAGTACTTGGATAGGTGACGTCCACCAGGGAACGCCCCGCTGCCCGAGATCCTCCCTCCCCCGGTATGTGAGGACCGCCAACCTACTGGAGGCAACTCACACTGACCGGGCATAGGACTGATGACCCAACCCCATGAAGTTTAATCGGGAATCGGGAAGTGATCTAGGAGACCACATCCCGCGGTCAAAGATCGTAATGGTCAGTAGCACCAACCGAAAAAAAAAAAAAAAAAATATATATATATATATATAAATAGAAAATCATCTTTATTGTGGGACTAGGTCCCTTAAGAATAACAGTATTGTTCACATAAATTAACAATAAATCTGGACAAAAGACCTATTACAATAAAGAATAACTAAAATACTAGTAATAAATTAAGAATAATAGCTCTTAGGGTATATTAACGAAAATAGTTGGGTAATATGGTTGCAATACTACAATATTGGAGCTAAAACAATAACATAATAATCACTAAATGAAATTAGAAAGGAACGCTAAATCAATTTTATAAGCACAGCATTGTAGTGATGGAATATAAAAATTTAAAAAAATATAACTGTTGATATATAAAAAAAATAAAAAAAAAAAATATGTTCCCTAAGATGTTTAAGTGAATACATGTAAAGATTAGGAGAAGAAAAAAATAAAATAAAGTATACATATATATATTATATGTATATATATATATATATATATATATATATATATATGTATATATATACGCTTTAGACGCACTAGGCTCGCTGACGACTACCAAGCGTTTAGGATGCTCCGTAACCTGACACAAACCAATATTCGAAGAGCCAAATCCTCCTATTTCCACGAAGCCCTGTCAGCAGCTCCTGATTCCAAAACCAAATGGCAACTCCTTCGTGAACTCTCCCTCTGTGACTCTTCCAGATCACCTTCCTCAGCAGCCTTTCCAGTCAAACCTGATGATTTAAATTCATATTTTATATCAGCTTCCTCCTGCATTCCTCCATCAACCTCTTCCTTCTTTACTCCTGGAATATCATTTAACGACGACAACTTTTATTTTTCAGATATTTCTCCTACAGACCTCATATCCGCTGTCATGAAATCTCATTCCAATTCCATTGGTCCAGATGGTATTCCCGTCAAATTAATCAAATTATGCCTACCTGAAATCCTTCCCGCTCTACTTTTCATCTACAATTTCTCCTTTCAGAACGCAATATTCCCTTCCTCATGGAAAAAAGCCATTGTCCGTCCTTTACTTAAAAATCCTAACCCTTCTTCCCCTGAAGATTACCGTCCAATCTCAATCCTGTCTAACCTTGCAAAACCTCTAGAACGAATAGTCCAATCCCAAATTTCCAACTTCCTAGAACAGTCCAATCAACTTGACCCTTACCAGTCTGGTTTTCGACCAGGCTACTCCACACAATTCGCCCTAATCAAAATCGTTAGTGATGTTCAGTCAGCCATAGATGATAAAAAACTAACGGTCCTTATCCTCCTGGACTTTTCCAAAGCCTTTGTTACCATTAACCATTCCATCCTTTTCTCCAAATTGAAATCGTTATCCTTTTCCAACAGCTCTATCCTTTGGTTTCAATCATTCCTCTCTCAACGCACCCAAGCAGTCTCTATCCCGAACCAACCTTTATCATCCTATCTAACTCTGTCCTCAGGAGTGGCACAGGGCTCCAGCATATCTCCTCTCCTTTTTAGTTCATATATTAACGACCTTCATAAATCAATCCTTCACTGTTCACATCACCTTTATGCCGATGATTCCCAAATTTACCTCTCCTTCGTTCCCTCTGAATGGCATGATGCGTTTGCCAAAATACAAGAAGACGCAAGTGAAAATGGATTAAGGTTAAACGCTGCTAAAAACCAAGCCATTGTCCTCGGTTCCAAACCCCTTCTCAGATCAAATACCAACATTCCTCTCCTGTACCTGAATGACCAACCCATCACCTTCAACACTTCAGTTAAAAACTTAGGTGTTATCATAGATCAAACCCTCTCCTGGAATCACCATATTTCCCTCATATCCCGACGTTCAATTTCCATCCTGAAACTCTTCCATCGCTTCCGCCATCTCCTACCCATATCCACACATAGACTCCTAGTATCCGCCCTCATCTTCCCCCACATTGACTACGGCTGCGTAGTGTACGGTGGCCTCTCATCGGAACTTGGAGTCAGACTGAAAAGAATAATGAATGGCTTAGTACGTCAATGGGACCCCGAGACTCTATCATGTTTCCCACTACTATGCCAAGTCAGGGTGGCTCTTCCCCTCCTTAAGAAGACAGTACTTCCTAGGT